TGAGCACAGAGACTGGGATCAGCTACATGCAACTGCTGACAACATCATGTGTCATTTTGATTCCGCTTATGTGTACAGTGGTTTTTCATTTATGAATAATAATCCCCTGCAGTTGGTGTTGAGTTTCTGTACAAATAAATGGACAAAGACAGTTTCACTGTTAATCTTCAAAGCTACTGTTTATACACACACATTTCATTTCTTCTGGTCTTTGTTAATTCTTTGTTGGCTTCAAGTGCTGATGAAACAAAAAAATGCATTGTATCAAGCACACCTGAATTTAAGTGTAAACCATGGCAGGCACAGTTGAACTTTTTGTCCCATATTCTTCGCAGTCTTTTCTCTGTCGTGTGTTGGCTATGCGACAGGTCACAGGAGTATGATCTCATACACAAGGCCTGCTCTCTGGATGCACAGTGTTTCCTTATCAATTCTTTAGTGCAGACAGAAAGACGGTAACCAAGGCGACAGAAATATCTTTTCCTTCTTCTTTTATAGCAGGAAGACTCTATCAACTTTGGATGGACCCAAAATGCAGGTGCAACATTTTGCTTTTCTTTCTCTTACTCAGTGTCTGTTATTCAAAGAAGAGCACGTCAGATACTCTTGTGTGCACATGCATGCACACACACACACACACACACACACACACACACACACACACACATACACACAAGCAATAATGGGTTCATCAGATAGATAGATAGATATATAGATACTTTATTGATCCCGAGGGAAATTCAAGAGGGTTCAAGAGACTCAGTTGGTTGTTTGGTAAATTTTGGTAATAATCTGACTCTTTAGAGCAGTCTGATTATCTTACTTTGACTTTTTGAGAGGTTGTGACCAGCATTTGTTGGACCAAACAAATTCCGGATTGAATGAATTTAATCATTAATGAAAATACATCTGTAGTGCTCTACATGTACTTGTGTAGAATGCGAGTCAAAATGTATGTGTACTGAGCTGGTCATGTTGATTTGATGTGGTCAGTCTTGGGTCTCTGGTATTTTTCAATTCTAATCCTACATTGAGAGATGAGGTTCAGAGGAAAAAAGGAAATATGTTCATCACCACTATATATATTCATAATAATTACTTACTGTAAGTGTGTGGACTTTGCCATATGCAAAGAACAATGTGTGTCAGGGCAGGGTATTATTTGTTGTCGCCCATGACTGTTAACTAGTAGCTGTTAACAATGTGTGTATCATGTTGTACACTTACCTGATCTTATTAGATATTAATGATAAATTGTTAATGTCCAACAGTATTTCCTTTCACTTTCACCTATTGTGCATCAAAAAAAATGTATGATGTGCTTATCCTACATGATAAATAAAAATGTCTTCATCTTTCTTCCTCTGTTAACATATTAAAAGCAAAATCTTTCTCAGTCCCTGAAAGAAAGAAAGAATGAATGAAAGAGAGAAAGACAATTTGCTTCTCAAATAAAAAACACAGATTTTCAGTATGGATCCGTGTGTGCATGTGTGTGTGTTTGTGTGTGTTACTAAAAAAAGTGAACAGAGTATTTATAATAAGACCTTTCCACTACAATGCTCAGCTATTGTGTTTCAAATAGCTGCAGAGCTTGATGAATACAATATGGGCAAGACGCTATCAGTAAATGTGAGACCAAGTCTGACACACAGGGAAGGAGACGCTGAGATAGATGTCTGACAAAATGACAAATGAAATGAGAAAAATGAGGAAGATGACACAGTGATTGTGATGAGATGTGTCTGTTTTACGTATGTATATTTAACTGTGGTTGCTATCTGATCTAAAATGCCTTTTTGGGCTGATGACATTAACAAAGGTTAAAAACAGTATTCTGTATCGACTGTCAAAAATAATTGCATTGCATTATTAATATGAAACATGTGTGGTCAAAAGAATCTCTCTGTGCTCTTGGTTGCTTGTTAACCAGGAAGACTGGGGGAATGTTTAACATGCGGCACTCTGGTTTGGACCGTTTCTTGGCTCCGTGCCTCATGACTGTAATTTGGATGAGTGCAGCTCGCTTGCCTTTGGGCTCATTAACAACAATATAAACAGTAATTACTGTGATCGCCTAATTAATTCATTTAAAAATACTGCACAGCGTAAAAGGCGTGAGCAAATCTTTTCTGCAGATAACAATTTTACAAAATTATTGTTGACATAATTAGCAATTTCATGTTCCAAAATGCAAGTGAAATAATTAAAAACCTTTTTTGTCCTATTTCATACATGCAGTGTTTTATTATTCAGACTCCTCATGCTTTTCTTTCCCTTTTCAGTAAGCCTGCTTTCTGCGAGTTATCCCCCTCTGATCCTGTCTCTGTCTGCATAGCAGCTCTGCGGTCCTGATAAATGTAATCCTCCCCTCTGGACGGATTCCTTTGTTTTTAGGCCATTTCTACGCTCCCCTCTGATGGCCAGGCTTTACTTATTATAGAATGTTTTGCCGTCATTCAGTGGGTTTTGTTTGGGAGGAGAGAATGGTCATTTGAGCTGCAACTGTCCGTTAATTCTATCTACTTTATTGGCCAGTTAACTGTGATTAACAGTAATTAAGATTCAGCCGAACAAAGCATAGATTTGTTTTGCATCCAGGACAATAGTCCCTATGAATGATTTTTTCTGCCACACCCACATCAAGATTTTCTCCAGAAACAATTTTTCCATTAAGTCTAATAATGAGCAGCATAGATATGATCCATGATAACTGCTTTCTATCGTTTCTTTACATTTTGTCAAATTTATATATTTTATAGTAAATATATTGTTTGAACTAATCCAGCGCTTTCACAGAACAGATATCAGTGCAGAGTTTGAGAACAAGTGACAGAGTCACTTCTGTTATGGGCACAGTCCTCTGACCCTTCAAAACCCCAATTAGTATTCCTGCAGAATTTATTACCACGCCTGGCATCACTTGTAGTTCATCATGTCTCTACACATTAAAGTGAGAGTAGATTCATAGACAGATCTGACTGATGTGTGTGTGTGTGAGTGTGTGTGTGTGTGTGTGTGTTTATGTGTATGTGTGTGTGTGTGTGTGTCAGAATGTTCAGATATCTATATGTGATCCAGTGCAACGTGATTCGTGTTTTTAAAAAGTGCCTGAGATGAAGTAGGGAGGATGATTATTTAGATTCCAAACAGAAGCAGAGGTTGTATGAGGAACCGAAACAATTACCTGTGAAAATGCCTCTCATCCAAACACTCACACACATTTCAGACTTTAATGTTCAATGAACTGATTGATTGATTGAATGAATGAATGTTATTTTTCCACCCGAACTTGTATGAGATGCAGTGAGATCATAGACTTTTACATACAGACCAACAAATGGGAATGAACTGTGGAGCACAGCACTTGATCACCACCTGCTGGTCTTCTCTATACACAACTCCCTGCCTCTTCCTTTTAGTTTCCTGCTTTAACACTGATTGATTGATTGATCGATTGATTGATTGATTGATTCATTTATTCATCTACACTGACTTCTCTGCACAGATATCATGCTAAATTCTGCAGATTACTCTAATAAATATTATAGGATGTAACCTCTGAGATGTGAGTGTCATGGTTCACAGTTGTAATATGAAACAAAAAGCTGAATTTAATTTGTTTGAAAAATATCAGGTATTTAAAGACTGATGAGAATCATGATCAACATAAAATGATCAGGACATCTCTATTTTAAACACCTCTGACATGTGAGGGATCATGTATTGAAAATAGTGTCATCTGTTAAGCACCAGATGGATTACTAAACCCAGCCAGGCACCAGCACAGGAACCGAAGAGGGCAGGGGTCTCCGGGCAGAGAAGTGACCGTTCATGTTTCAATTTAGAAACTGGTGAGTCGATTCAACCCTCTAGTCACTTTTGAAAGTATGTGCTCCGTCAGTGTTAGTTATGGTCTCCCTGTAACTGCTCTTCATTTTGTTGTGACGGGCACATTTCATGTTTGGCATTTTTAATATTTACTTATTCGTGCCGGCTGATCATGATAGTAATGGCGGATCCTGTATCGTGCTGGCATCTGATCGTAGTGGTGGACCATGATCAAGGTGACAGCTGATGGTGGATCCTGATGGCGGCAGTGGATCATGATGATGGATTATGATGGTGGATCCTGATCTTAGTGGCTGCTGATCGCAGACTATGACTAGAACAAGACTGCTTGATATACAATATGTCTCCTCAGATACTCTACCATTACTGACAATGATTCCTCACTTCATTTAACTTCCATCATGCTACAAACTATTGATTAAAACCAATGCTGTATTTACTCATATTTTCCTGATCTTCTCCATTAAAAGTGGCATCTATTGCACTTCTGTCTGTCCTGGGAGAGGGATCCCTCACATGTGGCTTTCTCTGAGGTTTCTACGTTCTTTTTCCCTGTTAAAAGTTTTTTTTCCTTACTCTTGTTGGGAATTAAGAACAGAGGATGTCACACCTTGTTATAGCCCTATGAGACAAATTGTGATTTGTAAATTTCCTCAGTTTGAATAACTTCTTATTTTACTTCTTGCATTATTAGTGGCACAAATCAGTTAACTCTGGTGCAATTGATTAAAAAAAGTTACATCATCAAATTGTGCTATGGGCCTTAGTAAATCCTGAGGAAAATGTCTATCTTCCCTTTTTGCCCACTAGAATGCGCCACTGGCTGATTTTAAAATGTATGTATCGCGGTCTCGCTGTGCAGGTGAATAGATAGAATGGAGAAGACAGAAGTCTCACTCTGCTCTTTAACGAAATAACACAAATGCAAACAAAGCTGGCAAACACATTTTACTCCCTAACCCTAACCCCATATATTTGTGCTGTATATATATAGATATCGATATGTACTGTGTATATATATTGATTTACTTTTGACTGAACAAAAACGTGTTTACGAAACAAAACATCTTCCCGAGGGCGCATGCGCATGCCAGACACCTACCGGAAGAAGAGCCAGATCTTCCTCCCATACAGCACATCGTGTTTGAATGCGATCTTTGAGGTGTGTGAGTCCACACCACACTGACACTTGTTGTGGTTTCGTGTGTTCGTGTGTGACTGGGTGCTGCTGTGTACAGATTTCCCGGCAGATGAAGAAGCTACGACTGGTGACACGTTTACCTGAGCGGTGAGTGTGAGTTCGATCCCAGCTGTCCGCAGCATGTCTCACTTCCATTCCTCTGGAGACCTTCATGGAGAACAATGTAAACATTCCGCCCCTCCACTGTGGTCGATCGGATATGGAGCTAGCTGCTGCTCCCAGTGTCTGTGCTGTGCTGAACCGTGTGCAGCTGTGGGAGCATCAGCAGTAGCATTCCGCTTGCTATGCTAATAGAGCTGCGAAGGAACAAACCACCTCCGCAGGGTTTCAATGCTCCGCGGGCTTTTCTCCCGAAGACACGTCTGCGGTGTCCGCAGCGTTGTGTCTCACTGCTGTGCATGACCTGAGCCACTAGGGCTCCTCGGACTGTGTTGTGCATGCTCAAGTGAAGGTGTGTGTGTGTGTGTGTGTGTGTGT